GGACGTCGTACTGGCTGATCATACAATAAACTTAGTTAGATACCACATTATGAACCATTGTATACAAAAATATTACTTACTTTAACTGGTACGGCAGTTTGAATGGCTGAAATCAGCATACGACGTGCCATCCAGTTCTTGTCAGCACGGTACAGTGGCATCACCGGGGTGTGAGCTTCTGCATCCGAGATCATCTCAGCGGCGAAAGATGTTGGGAATCCACTTATACCCACACGCTTGTTCCAGAACAGAACGATGCACTCAAACAATGCGGTCATCTCCTTACGGACCTTGGCATCAAGTGAGCTCCATGTAAAATGTGTCAGCAATTTGTCACCGAGATATGCTACGACAAAATGCTTACACAGGGAATGGACGTTGTTGTATGACTCTGTTGCTCTGGCCGTGATATCCTCATCGCTGCAATCCTCAGACGAAATTGACTTGAGATACGCCTCGGTCACGATCTCAAAGTCTTCGATCTTGTTCTCCTTACGCGTTTCAATTGATCTAGATCCAAACATTATCATCATGGCATCAATTTTTTCGACCAGACCATTATCCTTGTAGTGCGCAATTGCTCGACGGAGTTGATCTTGCAGATGCTCTATAAGTCGCAAAGTAAGAATATTAAAACCAAAATACTGTTACAAGATAAACCGAAAATGTTTGATATTTCATACCTGCTGACTCTACTGCGAGTGGCTTTTGGATGGAGGCCTTGCTGTTGGATCTTTGAAGCTTTTTGAGTTGACTGCAGCACTTACAATGTTCTCCAGATTTCAGGTACATGTGATTGCTCACGGCTACAGGAACATTACGAAATCCACGATTCATATCTGCAGTTAACTGAGCAAACTTAGTCTCCCACTTTGCTTCCATACGATTGATGGCAGTTTCGTAAAGACGGATAAAATCGGCGTTGGATAATGCAATATTGTTGGGGTTCATGTTATAAATTTTAAAAATAATTATTTAGAATAATATCAATGATTTAGTATAAATGTTTAGTATTTATAACATTTTGTCAGTTACTTAGCTTCGATTTGTATGGTTCGACTGATGTAGATTCGCATACACCAATCACAGTATTGTATCATTAATTCTGAACGCCGTTTTGGGAAGACAATTTGACAACAGTTCCCGACAGGTTCGTGTATTTGAAAGCCAATTTGCTTGGCAGCTATGACGGCATAAGAGTTTTAAGTGGTTCCGATCTGTGATAGTCTAATTCTATAATGAATATAAAACCTATAGAAAACAGGCCCATACAATTTCACTTACTTGTTTAATTCAAATATTTTAAAATCATGGTGCACCCTAATCGAATTCAGAAATCGCTTACACCTTCAAGAGTCCATAGACAGGGCAGAGCCCACCGTATCACGAGCTTTATGTCTCCTGCTGCCAATACAAATCAAGCAAATAGTGAAGCAAATGATGTGGACATGGATGCTGTTCATACCGTTCCTTTGGCGCATGTCAATGTCGAGACTATCCCTGCGGAACAACGTTTTGACGAAGCATTGGATTGTAATGAGTTCTTGGATAGTGACATCCCTGATGTGGACTTTGAACAACGTAGTAGAATGGAAGAAATGGCGTATGTAAGGGAGATCATTCTTCCCTCTGCTGCGGAGCCAACTGTAACTGAAGAAGACATAGATGAAGGTTCGTAACGATAATTGAAATTTTAAACACTTATGCTTACCCAATAATGCTCCATATTAGCCCGAATGTATCAAGATCCCGACACCAAGGATATTCTTATTCCTGAACATCCATTCAACAATAACGAATATGACAGTATCCAATTCATGTATAGTTGCGTAAAGTCAAACATGACAGTCGAAGCAGTGAGAGAAATGAAGAGATTGTTGGAGTTGTTTACGAACAGAGAACGATCCAGTAAGTTACTAAAATTATCGATCAGTTTTAAATTATAATAATGATACTAATTGACTTCCCTTTTTTTAGCATCAATCCAGAAGAAGAAATTTCATGCTCAAGAAGCTGGCCTTGCCATGATCAAAAGAAGATTACAACTTGATTTTGTCCGCGAGTATGAGATATGTTCCAAGAAGGGTTGCTATCTTTTTGATCCCATCATCGATGTCAATATGGCTGCTTGTCCTCAGTGTGGTGCCGTAAGACGTGCAACATCTGTTGTCAAAATGATCGACATCGGTGATCATCTTGCTCGTATGCTGACCTGCAATGATTTCCGTAAGGAGGTCGAGCAATACCGAGAGGTCATTGATGGTATAGAGGAAGACGATCCTTACACCGACTTTTTCTCTGGTTTGGCTTTCAAGGAGCTGAAAGCGAAGGGGCTTTTCTCGGGTAAGCATGATTTGGCCATTGTTCTCTGCGTCGATGGTTTCACATCCAAGGTTTCCCGACAAAGTATGGTAATGGTACATGTCATCATCCCCAGTATCGATCCGTCCATTAGGTAATGTATCACATATCTGTAGATATACTTCAAATTATTATTAATAACTTTATCATTTAATTAACAGATATACGGATGAATATACCTTCCAAGTAGCAATTTTTTTCGGCGATACTAAAACAAATTTTGAGTCGTACCTCCGTCCCATAATTAGAAGCCTTGATCAATTAAGCAAACAACCGCTTGTCGTTAAGCGTAATGGTGAACATGTTGCTACGTCTAACGTATTTTGTTTCGGGGTTATTGCGGATGGTGTTGAAATTAACCAGCGTCTGTTAATGTTTGGTGGCCATACAGGGTTCCATGGATGTAGATTTTGTTTAGGTATGTGTTAAATTCCAACTTTTACGATTTAGAAAACTTATTCGTCTCCTTTATTTAATTAGTTGAAGGTGTTCACCCTGTTGAAGAAAAAAAAGGTGGCATGTACTTCATTGAAAGGGGTGTTGCTATGAGAAGTAAGGAATCCTTGTTATCCGTAAGTTCTTACATTTTATATTCCCGTCTACTTTGTACTTACATTTTACACCCAAAGCCCAACGCTGATAACACTTATGGCATCAAAAAACCAAGTCCTTTTGGTCGATTAAATACCTTCTTGGGAATAGATTTCTTCTTTTGCGATGAGCTGCATATGTTCTCCAATGTCAGCAAACTCTGCTTTGATCTTCTTTCCCCAAGGTACAATGCCCGGTTTAAATTTGTTGGTCACGAATCCAAGTACCCTTTTCTCCTTTCCCCTGCGAACTTTGCCAAGATTCAACAGTCCATGAACGATTCGCGCTGTAATATCCCCACAGATTTCAGTGGCTCTTTCAAGGGCATGCATTCAGACAACGTCCGTTCTATGTATCGATCTGTTGATTGGATTGCTTGGTTGCTGTATGTGGTACCTACAATTGTTGCACCTCTCCTTCCCGCCAGTAGTACCACAAAGGCATTTATTGCTCTCTCCCGAGGCATTAAACTTAGTTTGCAGTGGGTTGTAACCGAATCCAACCTTAAAGAAATCGAAAGGTAATTAGCTACATATTACAAATGCCTTATAAATATCTAACTCACTAATCATCCAATCTGATAGATCATTTGACACTTGGTTTGATTATCTGGATACGTGCCTTGTCCAAGAAACGATCTCCCGTACCATTTTTAAGTCTAATATGCATCAATTAAATCATATTGTGTATATGATTAAAAGAATGGGGTAAGTTAAAATAATAGTACTTGTGCAAAGAAATCCACCGTCTAACCTGATTTTAATATAGTCCCTTGCGTTGTTACTCTGCACGATCTTTAGAAAGAACCATCGGTACATACAAAAGAAGAATCCGTTCAACTCTTCATCCTGGTGTCAATGCTGGCAACATCTTAGAAACTCGAGAAATATTTGCCTTCATCCAGTCGGCTGATATTATCGATTTTTCGATTGGTCGCGCCTCTGTTGATAAATCCTCCAATTTTGTAGAGCATCCGTCAAATGATCCAACCCGCCCACAGCTCTGGTCTCCTTTCATGTCAAACCCGGCTCCTTTGGTGTTTGGCGATTTGTACCAGAGATTCACCGCCTCGACTTCTTTCTCCCTTGGAGGATACCCTTTTATCTTCTGGATCAAGGCTTTGTTACATTGCTTTGTTCGTCTAGAAGGAAATAAAGAGGTATCTTTCGGTCAATTTCACGCTGATCAAACGATCATAATTTCGGCAAAATTATGGCTCAACAACCAAGTTTTGATCTCTGATTTTTTCAAGTCCAATAACAATTCGAGTTCTCGTGGTGGTGAATTCTTGATGTTCAAGGCCGTCCATCAGAACTTGTAAGTATCTACCCCTGCAATTGATTCATTTGTGTTAAATGCAAAAATTATCCATTATGTAGACAATTTCGTTCCGTCGAAAGATGGTACGTTTGTAAGGCCTTGTTTTTTTTTAGTTTCAGTTTCCGTGAGGGCTCTAGATCCCATTATGTCTATGGTGAGTTGATGAAGACGAATGGGGTGTCCCCGTACTCCAAGGCTATTCCCCGGGTCAAGGCTTACTCCAAGAATGAGCAAAAGAAGTTTGTCGTTTTTGACGCGGAGGATATTATGTGTTCGGTCGGGCTGGTCAATGCCACTGATCAGTCATCCAACATGTATGTCATACGTACGGGTGAGGCATTTGAGGAGGATATGTCGAAACTGGCTGGAAAAGTGGGCGACATTACTTTATAAAATAAAAGGCAAAATTAAAAAAATAAAAAATTCTTTTGATTAGTGCGAGAAAATTTATCTGACGTGATACAAAATCTCAAACCCAGTCCATGAACCAAATCATCCGTTTTGTTTCTCTTATAAAATCATCAATAATTGTCGTAAAGAGCTATTTTTTTCGACTAAATTATTCTATTATTTATTTCTAACCTCTAAGGATAGCAAAATCAATATTTAAAGCTATTTGTTTTTTTTTCGGAGTTAAACTTAGGCGATTGCGGTCAAAATTGGATATTATCGCCAAAAATGCGATACGGTCAATTTTTGACCGCAATCATGGCGATTGCGGTCAATTTTTAATAAATCGTTCTTGAAATTTTGCGGTGATCGGTTCTGCTCTCGATGAGTTCAATGTTTTCAGCATTGTAACATTTTATAACTTTGGCCACTTGTGCCTTTTGTTTCTTCATGGCTTCTATGGTCTGACCGGCCAATTTATGGCCTGGTTTAAAAACAAATATTAATTTTATCAATATCAATTGAATACAAAATACACGTACCAATATGCCCACTTTTAAGCCTTGCCACAAGATCAAAGTAGGCATGAACATTACTTCGTAAAATGTCGCGCCAGTATGCCTCTTTGATCTTGACGAAGGCTAACCACTGGGACTCGATCAGGGACATACTTTCCCTAGTCAGTGACTGAGAACGACCGGCTCTTCTTTTCACTTTGGTCAGATACTTGTTTATTTCAGCGATCTGATTGCGGAAGTAAGACATACCGGTGGAGCCAACAACAACCTCTTCTACTTGGTTGTTGCTAGAGAGGATGTCATTATAAATTAGGATTTCAATTAGTTGATTGCTTAGTCGAAAAACAATATGTATATAAACCTACTTAAACCTGATGTAGACGCTCAACAAAAGAGGAAATTTATGAGAGTCTAAAACATAAGGGGGAATAAGGTCTGTCACCATATTCCCATGGCATCCTCGGTCCCTAAGCATAGTCAAATGCTTGGCGTACTTCTCCTTGATATTCTTTATTCTACGCAGAGACCACTTACCAACCTTCTTGTCCATTTTAACCTTTTCAAGGTATAAACGTTCAGCCTTCACCTTCAAGGTCTTTGCTAATATAAATTACATTAGTACACTAGAAAAGAGTTCAAAATTACAACAATTTCATACCCATCTTGAACTTGATGACACGGTTCCTGTGTTTGACAGCCATGTATAAGACTTATCGCCGGTTATCCGCAGACATAGGTTTGGTCAAGGTGATATAATTCGCCATATAAGACCAAAGTCTCTCCATGCCCTTACCGTCAGTCAAACCAAAATTTTCAATATATCTAGGGTTGTATTTGACTTGACAGTACATAACGTGAGCGTAGGTATGGAAGACCGATAGCGCAAGACGGCCAGGACCGGCGATACCAGGGAACTTTAGCTAAAACTTGAGTTTAATAATATGATTTTTTTATAGCTGTCGATAGTATACCTTGAGAGATGCTTACAGCTTGCAGACAATGTCATACATGACATTTATAGGAACCTTTCTGCCAAGCTGGTTCTCAACTGAGGCTATACAAGCCAAAGGATATTTGAACCTATAATAAATTAGCACGCAATTGTCTACATGAAATTCAAGCGATTTTTAAACCACATATATGATAATTATCTAGCGTTACCCTTCCCCGGTATTCATGTCACCAAGATTAAAAATAATAACCATGTCTTGCACATCCACTACCAAATACACCTCGTACAGGATAAGCGGCCGATACGACATTTTGGTTTTTAACCCCTTTGAAATCACGATCCATGACGACTGGGTCTTCAGTCATGTCTTCAACAGTGTTGTTACCAGCAGGCACAACGGGAACCTCGACAGATGCTTCCACAGATGCTTCCACAGATGCTTCCACAGATGCCTCAACAGGTGCCTCAACAGATGTCTCTGCATTGGTGCCAGTAGGGATAACGGTGCTTCTTGTGGCAGACTGGAATTAAAACCAAAAAATCGTTAGGCATTTTGAAATAACAAATACGAGGCTTAAAGTTTACCTGGTCATCGGTTTTCTCAAACTCTTTGACTTGATCCTCACTCAACCACTGCTCTCCATATCCCTCGAGACCTGCAATTGTCTCCAACTCGGCATCCTGCGCAAGAGACTTTGTTCCTTTAAGGCGGAAGTTTCCATCCAACATCACGTACTGCTTGTCGGTAATCTCGTTTGAATCAATCTGGTAAATAAAAAAAATGTATGTCAATTTGGAAAAAGTCTTTTGGTTTCAGTTTTTCAAAGACCTCAGGACAAGCAGGACATGATGTGGAAACTGTTCCCCTAAATACTTCCTGTTCAGCTAGCTCTATCATTTTGCTGTACAAAAGTATAGCGCTGGCGCATTTTTCAGCAGATAAACATTGCTATAAATGATTATTAGAGATTTCATTATTTTTGACAAATTAATATATCGTGTACCTTATCAACAGCAACGCCTTGTTGAAGAAGCTCACTGTAGAAGTTAGAGATCTTTTCTGCAGAGCCGGCAAAATTGATTCTGAGCTTTACGAACAAATCACAAAGACTAAAATGGACTGCCCCATTTGGTTTCGTGGGTGAAACAAGAAACATGTCAGCTTCAACTAGGGCAACTGGCAAGGATTTGCAGTTACCGCAATAAATAAATGGTTGGTTTTTCTGGACCTGTGATAGTTGAGAATAGATTTTAAAAGAAAAAAACAATAAAGTACTTTGAGACTGCTTATAAGTTTTATTAAGAGTAAAAAGTAGATTAAAAGATTCAGAGGGTTCTATTCTAACTATCAGTTTGCATATTTATATATGTTAAGAGAAATCGGATTATGAGTTAAGTTTGATGGATAAGTTACACAGCACTAAAATAGTGCTTGTAGTTGGATATGATATAATGTACAAGAAAATAGTTCGTGTTGTGATGTAATAATGTATGGGGTGATAAAGTGAGATTTAATTTTAATATTGTTTTATGGTGTGATTAGTAACAACAGAAGGTGGATCACCACAGGACCTCTGGATATTAAATTTGTTTAGTACTCAATAAACACTTATGTACAAGCTTTGACTTTACCCGTGCAGAAAAACAAGTCAACCAACGCAGTTTTTTGCATATTAGCAGCACAAAAACAATGAATTAGGTCACCCAAACCACAATCCTTCATACTAGGAATCGAGCCGTTGCTATCCAAGAAGGCAAGGTATGCTTGGACAAAAAGAGGCATGATGTTTTTCCACCGGAGGTGAGTTCTGATCTTTTTAGTTTTGTAGTTGCTAAATGGGGCTTCATCATTTTCGTTGGTCTCGATAACCGTTTGATCAGCCTCGATCTCAACAGCTGTTTGTTCAGTTTCGGGCAACAGATTAGCGATATTCCAATTAGGTTCCAAATTCACCTCGCATTCGTCATCGATCCAGACACCGTAATCTTCTTGCCCCTCCTCAAAATGATCATCTGAGAGGTTTCCGAAATTTACTTCAAGTTCGTCAGGGGTCGCTTGGGCAGTTACGTCTGGTGAGGCGATCTTATCACGCTTACATGAGTCATAACGACCGAAAGCACGATCGAAAGCTTCTTGTAAAAAACCTGGCTCGGACGAACCGGTTCTTGACTCTTTTAAACCGAACAACGACTTAGGCGAAGACAAAAATTTGGTGACATCAGCTCTACTAGCTGTGGAAATCGGTGTAGATTTATAAAATAAAAACAAGAAAATTATCAAACTTGCAAAAATTCACTAAGGCTTTATTAAACAAATAAAAGGAGGTCTTTATATACACATTATTTCAGACATTGATCACAGATGGGCTAATGACGGTCGTGGGTAGATTCATCCAGATAATACTCGGATGTAATGATCCCATATTGAAAGACCATAATGAGATGTCAATAACAATAACAATAACATTCATTCTTAAACTGTGTATGTCTCGTAGCACAACATTCAGGGGAAAATGTAGTTCTTATTAAAGATAGCTGTGGCACCTCAACGTGGCTGATGTAACCTTCATTTGTTTTCATATTCATGTTATTATTTAAATGTATGCCTTATACTTGTATGAAGGATGATATGAGATCAAGCCTGTACATAAAGTAAATGATCAGTATTTAATATAACAGTATCGATAAGAATTATATTTAGGATTATCAAATGGAAGATTTAAGAAGTGTAAATAGAGTCATATATTAAGTATATAGCCTCGATCACGACACTAGCAAAAACTAAATGGCTATCGCTAATTGCTTCGACTGGTTTAGCTGATCTTCTTTTAACATTTGCTTTAAAAGTTCTTCCCATTTTTATTTAATTTAAAATAGTAATAGAACAATACTTAAGAATAGTAAGAGAACAATATAGAGTTTTTGATGGTTGTTCTATCAAACAAGATAGACAGTTTATAAGATAAAGAAAAAGGTAATTGTGAGACTGGGTAAATTGAATATCGTTTTATTATTGAATTAGAGGATGGTTTATATAGGAATTGACAAAGTCCTTTCGGTACTTGTCAATTAATAGAGCAGGCTGAGAGAATGATTTATAATGTGAACATATTGCAGTAAGCATGTGTGGACCATGCGTGCATTGTAAGCTGTGATATTATTTATAAGTTGTTTTTATCATTTGTTAATGCAGATGTTGCGTGTAAACCGCGTGTACGTGAGGTGACACAAAATAACTATTTCGAGTTTCTTCGCTAAAGTAACTCACAGAATAGTGCTTGTATACACTACGAGACATTTGTGTATACAACAATGGTGACCCGGGGTAATTTTGGTGCCTAATAACAAAACAAGTCACTATTCTGAAAGTTTTAAAACATGATTAAAAGCTTTTGAAATTAGTGGGAATGCAAATTTAGGTACCTAAATTGTGTGGAGTTTTGACTGCTAAAAGGTCCCCCTTTTTATTTTAGATCAATGAGGTGGAAATTTACATGAAGCCGGGTTACTTATTCCCGATCTTTTATCCGTGAACATCTTTCCTTTTGTAGACAGTATTATTTATTATGTCACCAAGGCTATAATGTTTCGCCTGATTCGTCCATTTGGACGAATTTTTTAGTAAGTGTTTACCCATTTACCCAAAAAAAAACGAATTGGGTAAATTTACCCATTTACTCGTTTAGACGAATTTATAGTAAGCGTTTACCCATTTACCCAAAAAAAAAAAAAAAAAAAAAAAAAAATCGGATTAAATGCATAATTAAGGTGGTGTATATTTTAAAATCAGCTCTCCCTTTCAGCCTTCAGCCAAATAAAAAACTTTCGTTTATACATATTGAGTCATTAAATACATTCATTCGTTTGAAAAAATTGGTTTGCAGTTTTAAAAGTTGATTATATATTTTATTTAAAAGAATGAAAGTAAGATTTATTTATATTTTGATACTTGAGGACAAATTGCTATGTAGAAGGATTACTACTTAAATGAGCTAAAAAGTAAACGGTACATGGCATAACATGAAAGCATTGATTATTCTGTATAGGAAGCAACGTATGATCTAAAAACAAGGGGGATAACCAAAGTTTTCTAAATGAATATTAGGTCAGTTTATGATAAGAAGACTCAAAATTGATACGTACTATTCCTTTTCTAAACAGAGTAGCCGCCACTACGGTAAAAACAAGAAGCTTAAGTCTGAAGAGATAATTAGAGAAAAGAAAAGCCATAAACGAAAAACACTTACTTATAGCACTGGCGTAGTACACTGCAAGCACGGCCTTTATACACCTGTCTATGCTGATTTAAAAGAGAGATAAGTAAGGGGAGGGACTTCAGAGATGGAATGATGAGTTTACCAGAGTGTAATTGCAAAAGAAGTAAGCCCAGACGTTTATTCAGTTACATGGTTACGAGAAACAAGAACGAATAAAAGTAATTTTTTTTTAAAAAAAAAACTGATTTATTAAGGTAAAAAGATAAAAAATAGATATTAAAAAAGAAAAAAGAAAAAAGGAAAAGGAAACAGAAAAGGAAAAAAAAAGACTCCGTTTATATGTACTTTTTAGAGGTTGCTGTTACGACGGAGGGATGACTGGAGGCAGATAATTTTTTTTGTATACGCGGCTTCTTGACAGCAGGACACTAAGACAGATACTCGTCTGCTTCAAGTAAATGGAATGAATGAGTAATTTTAAGGTTTGGATCTCAATTTTTATTCACCCAATCTGGGTAAGTATCCGCCCATAGACGAATGCTCGTCTGCTGCAGGAAAGTGGAACGGATGAAGTAATTTTTATTTACTCAATGTGAGTAAGTATTCGCCCATAGACGAATACTCGTCTGCTGCAGGTAAATGGAACGAATAAAGTAATTTTTATTTACCCAATGTGAGTAAGTACTCGCCCATAGACGAATACTCGTCTGCTGCAGGTAAATGGAACGGATAAAAAGCTTAAATTTTTGTGCAACCTATATATTTTACTCAAAATAAACGAACAGTTGCCCCTGGACGAATATTTACCCTTTTTGAGTAAATGAAGTAATTTTATTTTTTGTGTACCATTGTTTATTTACCCAAAATGAACGGATACTCGCTCACGGACGATTATCCGCTCAGATTTGAACGGATGCTTACCCCCAGACGACTATTCGCCCATTCGTCCGCATTTACTCTGTTTAAGTAAGTTTTTTTAGCCTAGGTGTGTGTTTTTAGCACAGGGTGTCATTCATAAAAGGAGCCAGTAGTTGAGGTGAATCAGGCAAGTCTGATGGGTGATCCAAATACGAGGATGGGCTGCAACCAGAACCAGAACCAGAAACCAAGCCAGACGTGAGACCTCGGATATGATGTGAGTTGTAGCCTGCTTGACTTTTAATGGTGTTGGAAGCATTGGCATTGATACGGCCCTTCGACTTGATCAGATTGCTGTACTTTTTTACTGTACGTTCCAAATTACGACAAGAGTGTGATAATTGAGAATAAAAAGGGGATTGTAAATTGGAAAATAAAGCAAGTAAAGAAATGAGACTCTATAATCCTTTATTATACGTTGGAGAGTTTGTCATAATAAAAATAGAGGTCCTTTTTATATTCAATTATTACTTGAAGATTTTTCCTGCGCAGATCGAATTGACTATTTACCCGCAAACTGGGAAATGGTAGAATTAGCTTTAGAAATCAGTTGCATATAAAACATAGCTTATTGTTATATACAAGGAGGTAGTTGACCCATATCCGGCATTTCTAGAGCATTATAGTTTATCCATTCAATGACAGGGTCCTTGATTGGATTACTAAAATAAATTTATGAGAAACTAGAAGTTTCGGCAGCTACTCGACCAATCCAGGAACGATTATAAAATCTGATCTCAGTTTGACATATGAGGGAACTGGTACTGTGTCGTACCAATAGAAATGTATTCGCAATATGGTACTTATAATACATAGGTTATATGTATTATAATTGAGTGACAAGATAAGAGTAATTATATTCGTGGAATTAGGCGTCAAATACGACAAAGAGTAGGCTTTCAGAGGTCCTGCATTTTTGATAATGTACTCCAGATGACACAAATAATGATTGTTGACGAACATTTAATCTCTGACACAAATAATGATTGTTGACGAACATTTAATCTCTCCGCTAAAATCTTGTCTCTCAAAAATGTATGCCTCGTCAAATCTTATCATAAAGGTGGTTAGGTAATTAAGAAAGTTGAATTTTCCAATGCAAAACCTCATGTATTTTTCATATATGACTACAGTACCTGTTATTCATGTACCTAGTGTCTGCATCGGATATAGACCATTGTATGGCTATGGAGCAACCATACACTAGATTCATCAATGCTTCTCTTGCTTTTTCGGATTGTATATGCTGAATGACCAATGTTGGAATGATATACAACAGGAAATCATGCCAATCTACAGCACGGTTGTGACCCTTTGTGCGTTCCCAATTCCCTTCAAGTGACTGGGGTATATTTGTTCTGGATGCGTTAACAAAGCCATCAATTACTTCGAAAAAGCGGCTGTTCTGTGTCTGTAATCTACTTAAGCCGAAAGAGTAGCCTTTATCACCCGGCGCTTTGTAACGTACGTTATCCGCAGGAAAGACCAAAGCATATACCAACTTTTCAATGTTTTGTAACAAATGCATTTCGTCGCAAAGAAAAAAAGAAGATCGGTTGAATGTTGGTAAACGACTGATCTGTTCGGAAACACCGTACATTCCGTTTTTCTTCGTCAAACAAATTATTCGTAAGTATACATTGTATCCATTAATACGTCAAATATACTAACTGTTGTACTTCAAGGTAAGGTTTAAATTATAAAAAGACTATAGGAGTAGTTTGAGACTGTTTATAAGATTGTCCTTTATTAATAAATGAAATGTACAAGTATTTATATAAAAGACTGTCTGCTGTGTTCATATCTCTAGTGCTATCTTGAAGTAATCATTGATTAACCAAAAATGTATACGGTTATTACATAGTCACTAATTTAGTCTTGTTCTAATAAATGTTAAGTCTTCTTAACTCTCTTTGCTTTAAACTAAATTTTAAGTATTTTGTCGTATTTGGGTATGATTTATTTGAGAATAAACAAATAAATCGAATAAAATAAAAACATGGAATAAAAACATCCTTTAATATTGAGTAACAGCATACACCTGTATACTGCTACACAACGACTCCTACTATGAGTACATATTTCTATATAAAAAGATTGCATGATTGGCTTAAAATCGATATACGAATGACAGTTGGATATAGAATTCTATAACACTGAGTTACGATATCACCGGTCGGGAAGAGAAGCTTCTCCGATCAAATCAAGAAATATAAGAAAGAGAAACTTAATATTAATAGTTCTCTCAATGGATTAGCTACATATAGAGAGAATAGAACAGCTATTTATATAAATGGTTCATTTACTTATATATTGATAAACACAACTTATACGACTGTAAGTGTATAAGAGAAGTAGTGCATGGAATATTTGGATGCCTATTTTCTACAACTAAATATACAAACATCGATAAGATGTTCTATATTTAGGATCACATATTTACCCATGTCTCAGATAAAAATAATCAGACATAACTACATGTTCTACCACAGCCAATTAAACAAAAAAACCTTATGCATCTTTTAACTAGCCACCGTTACACAATATCTTACTGGAATTCTGTATTTTAAACAAAACAATAAGAGTGTCCCAGATCGGTTGATTCAGGGCGACGTTATTTGAAATCAATTCTAACGAGTAGAATTCATTTAATGTAAGGCGGGAAATTGAGTATAGATTTATTACAAGACCAGAAAGGTTGACTCAACACAACTACCAGGGGAAGTTGTTCAATATAAAAAGGATCAATTATTTCATCGCAGCAGAGTTCTTTTAGTCTATTTTTACCTCGAATAAAGATATACTTTTTTCTCATTACTTTTTCATTTGTAATATTTTTGTCAAATACCACATATTTCTCAGACGTACTAAATTAGACTTGTGATGTAATATCCCTATAGTTCTTACTATGACATTTATTGTTAAGCTTATATCACAAATGGTATCAGCATGGATAAACCTTTGTTAGCTCTAATATGACTATAGCCTTGCTAGGTCACCACACTAACCGCTATTTGACTACGTGATACCATTTTCTTCTTGGTTCTCATAGTTCCTTTTTTTAAAATTACATGCCGTGTGAAGTTTCAATTCGTCTTTCACCAGTGACTTTACACATTCTGCATCCACTAGTCGATTGGTGTCCTTGATGGTTCATTAAAGAGGCAATAACAGGAATATCACCTGTGATTCCAAGAATAAATACTCTTCCTGTGTAGAAATCGCGATTATTTTTAACAACTGTCATGCCTTTCGTACTCAAGACTCCTACTTCTTCAATGAATGGCTTTAAAAACGACATCAAATCGTATGTCTTTTCAGGGCCACTCGCTATAACACCTAAAGGCATTATCATGTTTTCTTCAAATCTATAAAACGGTAAGAAAGGAAGAAAACAACTTTCACAGAAAAAAGGCGGGGATCTATATTATCTAACAGATGGGTCGAGGTTCATGATGATAGAGTGAATCATGGTTTGGCTATGACCGGTTTTGTGCTTTTTTTGGAAGCCATCAACATACATTACAAGGCAGATATCTTTTTCACCAATAACCCCTTTACGATGCAAAAGCTTGAAGTCTTGCCCGAAAAAATATCAACAAGTTGATTATCATCGAGATTAAACGTATGCTTGAAGTCAAAAAGCTCCCTGTTGTCATCATCCAATAGCATATGTGTCAATGCTTCACCGATGGACACGCATGGCATAATTTCACGAGAAACTTTACTATTGTCTTTGAATCTTTTCTCTTTACATTTGGGATTAGGGCAATCTACAGCTTGATCATCGTCCATGAAAAGGTAACAGCTATTAACGCAGACATCATATTCTTTACAAATACCTCTAGTGTGGTATTTGACAAAATGTTACAAATGGAAAAGTAATGAGAAAAAAGTATATTTTTATTAAGAGTAAAAATAGACTAAAAGAACTCTGCTGGGATGAAATAAATGATCCTTTTTATATTGAACAACTTCCCCGGGTAGTTGTGTTGAGTCAACCTTTCTGGTCTTGTACTAAATCTATACTCAGTTTCCCGCCTTACCTTAAATAAATTCTACTCGTTAGAATTGATTTCAAGTAACGTCGCCCTGAATCAACCGATCTGGGACACTCTTATTATTCTGTTTAAAATACCGAATTCCAATCAGATATTGTGTAACGTGGCTATTTAAAAGATGCATACGTTTTTCGTGTTTAATTGGCTGTGTTAGAGCATGTAATTATGTCTGATCATTTATCCATTCTGTTGATTATTTTTATCTAAGACATGGGTAAATATGTGATCCTAAATTTAGAACATCTTATCGATGTTTGTATATTTAGTTGTAGAAAATAGGCATCCAAATATTCCATGCACTACTTCTCTTATACACCTACAGTCGTATACGTTGTGTTTATCAATATATAAGTAAATGAACGATATATAGAAATAGCTGTTCTATTCTCTCTCTGGGTTGCTAATCCATTGAGAGAACTACTAATATTAAGTTTCTCTTTCTTATATTTCTTGATTTGATCGGAGAAGCTTCTCTTCCCGACCGGTGATATCGTAACTCAGTGTTATAGAATTCTATATCCAACTGTCGTTCGTATATCGATTTTAAGCCAATCATGCAATCTTTTTATATAGAAATATGTACTCATAGTAGGAGTCGTTGTGTAGCAGTATACAGGTGTATGCTGTTACTCAATATTAAAGGATGTTTTTATTCCATGTTTTTATTTTATTCGATTTATTTGTTTATTCTCAAATAAATCATACATCTAGTCTTAACCACTGTATTTTTTATCTGATCAGGAGAACGAAGCTTTGTCCTACCTAGGCCTAATTTGAGAGATAAAAACATGAGAAACGGAAGTCTTTGTTGCTTTTTGTTTTACCTTGGATGCAAGCTTCTGGTGCTACACAATCAAGCAAATGTTTGTTGATGAATGAAATTAGATGGCGTTGTACTTCCTTTGAGACACCTTTCTGATCAGTTAATTGCAGGAATCCAGATTCAAATGCCCTCAATTTATTATGATGGCCGTGGTTGGTATCAAAATACTCATATAAAATTGCGTCAGGAAACTCTTCCTGCAGAACTGATTCATATGTATTGCAAAAGTAAGTCAAATGCACGTTATTTAAAAATTCTTTTTCCCATACCTTCGTCGACAACATTATCATTTCCAGGAGTATCTGCACTGTCAGTCATATCGATATCTTGCAAGGAGAATCCGTCGATGCTCGTATCAACTTCATCGGCTAAAGAAATACACCTTTTCTTTTGTACGTGTACGTACATACTTTTAGCATTAGGGGCGGAATATTGGCATACGTTACAGGCGTTGTAAGGATTAACTGTGTTATCGTTATTTATAAGGAAAAATATAAAGAACTGAGAAATTAGATTTATGCTATATCCAACAGATTTTATAGCCTCCTTTCTAGACTACACTAAAAAACGTCAACTACGCACTAGTGATAAGGCTAGCTCTTGTCGACAGTAAATTGGTTATGAAAATCACCCATGAACGTGTAGTTGAGAAGTAAGTAATACGTAAGATTACACGCATATATTTAGGGACCATGTATATTTCTTGTGTATAGACGCTTTTTGGGAATTACTGTCATTTTTAATGACATTCTTTATTACATCATTGTTTAAATAATAAAGGAGTTTAAATTTTAACATATATTAGACATCCAGCATAAGATAGTCTTGTTCCTTTCTTCATTATTTAACACTTATCAATATGCCAAACTACAGCGTAAACTCTTTTGTTGAATCCGCACAACGTTCAGAAATCGCATGGAACGAAACACTTGCTTCCATCAAACGAATGGAAAAAAAACTGGATATTCTCCTTCAAGAGCGTGATGATGATCGCGAAAAAAACAGAAGAGGTATGTACAAATTTATAAGTGATAGACTATGGTCGCTTACAACTCATACTAACGTCTTTAATCATCATAAATACACTTACAGCCGAACCTGCGGTGTGAGCTATCTATCAAAGTAGAGACAATGAGTTTGATAGCCTTTTGTCTTCACACGAACGAGACATTCAAAAACCATCGGCTAAAGGCAGCAAGTACCGAAAGTCAGCTTACATTGAATACTTTCTACAGAAACTGAAACCGGATTTGAAGATCCAGCTGAGCGACAGCTTTCTTGTGAGAGATTAGAAAACGTTGAACATGCAAACCTTCGTTTCGCAGCTGAATTCATACAGCAAGACAAGTGTCATGCAGCTTAAGAGTAAGCTTGATGCTTTGGACCTTTATGGTGAAAAACTTAGGTGGAAAGTTATTCCTTCTCACCTTAAGTCTGAAGTTGTCAATTATTTGGAATTGATGGCTAAAAGGTCCAATCTTCCTTTAGATAAATGTACAGAAAAGTGGGCAGCAAAAACACTGATTTCGACTAGTTACCACAACTATATGAGAGCATTCATGGTATGTTATTCAGCTTTTGGTTTCGCTTAATTTTCATTTTATTTTTAATTGACAATCATTGTAGCCCGAAGTTTCTGAAGATGAAGAGCTGGTTTCAGCTGTTGTAGTTCCCACTGCCATCCAAGAAGACACTGGTTCTGGTTCTGTGGATGATCAGATGTCTGATTACGGTGAGCTGGAAGATGAAGTCATCCCTCCTGCTCCTAGAAAGCGTGCTGCCCAGGCAAAAGGAAGAGGGAAAAAAGCTGCAAGGGGCTCGAAGAGAACAAAAAGGTATGCGAGAATAAATGCCGTTCAAAACTGTTGTCATTTGCTGATACGTTATTTTTGTAGACCTTAATTACACTTACCTCTTCTTTCTGCTCTTTTAATTTTTTATGTGCCTCCTTCCTTCCTTTTATTTTTTTTTTATAAATAAATGTCATGCAATCTACTAAAATGACACTAAGTTTCATTAGACCAATAATTTTGTAAAAAATCACACTAATTTACGCTAGGTCATTTTTCTTTACACTAAAGTTGCGCGATCCGTCGTTTTACTATTATTTCTCTTTCTTTTTCATACTTTTCAAAAAGACTTTAATCAATCGGTAAGTCCTGGTTTTGTTTTTTGCTGTAGATACTAATGTCGTTACTTATTTTACAGGCTTTCTATACTATTGAGTTCGCTCATTCCCTACCCGTATACCCTTTTATTTTATGTAAGAATCTTTTATGTTGATTTAAGAAGCTAATATCCACTTTTTACACTACAATATCTTGAATATTGGGATCATTAAAGTATTACTTATTGTAGATATGTAAAAACTCACATAAAGTCATATCATACGCTCGAATCCTAAGGTACTTTTTGCACCTAACATATATCATGCTACCTATACCGTATAACTAACCTCCCTTACTAGTTTAAAATAATTTTGAAAAGACACATTCAAATATATCTATATTTAAGGTATGATTACGTAGAGGTCGTATAACTAACATTGTTCACTAGCTTAATAACACTTTAATTGGCCCATTTAAATATATTATACTCTATATCCACATCCATTGGCATCCTTTAAATAAAACGTTTCTTAAAATATAAATTATACCTATGAAATGAGAAAACACGATATTACAATTGAATGATATATTTCGTATGACCAAAATGTTTTTTATTTATAACCAAAATACATGGCTTTTTAATAAAATTTTGATGTGTCAACACAACATATTTGCATATCGTTACAGAAATATTTATCATGCGACATAATTACTTGTCCTATGACACAAACTATGGTCATGAAACGCAACTTATTCTGATCAATTCTGGTTCTGTGATCAAAGCTTATGTTGAAACCCTACAAATTTGTCAGATAACACCAAAATATTTTTCATTTTTTGTGTAATTACACCAAATGTTTGGTATATATAACAAAACGTGATCAAAATGCTAAAATAATTTTAATCATATTCCTGAGACGCCAAATAATTTGGGTTGAATTTGTGTTCGGGAAACAAAATTTAACCAAAACGTTCGCCGTTGTGCCAGATCATCACATGTAAATCTTTTATTTTGAGAAAATTTAGATTCGGGAATTCTACTAGCAAAAACTACAGGTATTTATACTAAATGATCAGATGGCTTTCGGATAATATATATGACGCGTTAGAGAAATATGATATAATGCTATACGTAATCAATAATACAGGATTTTGAAGTCAATTTCGGCAAAGTTTTTTTTTTTTTTCGCCCAAATACGTAACCAATTTCGTGCCAATCAGAAATCATTTTTGCTCAAGTTCGGAGACAATTTCGCCCAACTCCTAGGACGTTTTTGGCACAATTTGTAGACAATTTAATCTAAAGCCGGACACAAATTCGAACATTATTGTAACCAATTTCATCACATATATTTTATTAAAAAAAAAACAAAAACAAAAAAAATTACTACAACATATCCTCCTTGACAATGCACCTTGGGAAGTACGACATCGAGTGTGAGACCCATCCTTGACAATCAGAAGCACTGATAGTTCTCAAACCTTCCTCCATCTTTCTCAAAAGAGTTGGCGTGTCATCTAAATATTCCCTTTTCACATAAAACTTCAATTTGGAGAAAAGTTCTTCGATCGGGTTCAGAAATGGACTCCAGGCCGGTAAGAAGACTACTTTATGCCTAGGAAAGTGCTGTAAAATCTCCTGTACTACTGTTGATTTGTGAATTGGGCAGTTGTCCATGATAATCGTTTGATTTGGTGCGTTAGTTCTTTCCAGGTAAAGATATAGCTCCTTCATGTAATCCGCAAATACTTCACCATTGGTTCCATGTGTAGTATTATTCACAGCACAATATTCTACACCATTTGTTGACATAGCAGCAATCAATGAGATATTTCGTTTGCGCTGGCTACTCACTATTTGGAATGCAGGAGCTCCTTTTTTCGATCTTGCACAACCTCTTGTCACCCACAAGTTAAATCCGCTCTCATCGACGAAAATACAATTATGGTTATAACTGATTCCTTCAACCATCAGTCTATTACAGTAGTCAAATGTTGCATCTTTGATTGCTGGATCATTTCTTCTTCCCGGGTACTTGTGTATTTTTTTCAGACTATATTCTATGCGTTTTTTTAAGGCGTAACTGATACCGGTAATAGAGTGGGGAGTTTCCATATTAAAATGAAGTTTTAGGCGGGATTGAATGGTTTCCAATGTAATAGAAGGGTTTTCATCAACCAAAGATTGGATAAATTGAAGGTGCTTGTCATTGATCTTAACATAATGACAGCCTCCCCTTTTAAGTGATTCAACTCTACCAGTATCTTCATAAATTTTGGTAATTGACGTCAAAGTAGATCGTGAGATTCGTAAGTTCGATGCCATTTCTTTGATGGTTTTAACACCACGATGATCTTCCCAGTATTTAACAATTTCCTTTCTGAAATTGTCACTTATTTTTTGATATTCGTTTCTTCTTTTACTTATAGGTTGAACAGTTTGGCTTTGCTGTGACATATTTTCTTCGATTGGAATTTTTAAATATAAACTTAAAATCAATAAGAGAAAGATGATATGAGATTTGCTTCGGATAGAAGAACTACGGTCCTTATATAGTTTATTGCTTAGAATCCCGAAAGTTCCAACACGTTATTTATGATCTCGAAAGTTCGAAGACATTGTTCATAATCTCGAAAGTTCCAAGACATCATATAAATTTATGTTCAACTCTCATGTGACGGAATTGATTTCCCGAAAGTTCGAATTTGTGTCCGGCTTAAGATTAAATTGTCTACGAATTGTGCCAAAAACGTCCTAGAAATTGGGCGAAGTTGTCTCCGAACTTGAGCAAAAATGATTTCTGATTGGCACGAAATTGGTTACGTATTTGGGCGAAAAAAAAAAAACTTTGCCGAAATTGACTTCAAAATCCTGTATTAAAAAAATAGAAATCGTAAAAAACAGTCACAAGGCGAGCTAACTTTCAGTCACAAAAGTTACGAAAGTTAAGATTTTAAAGGGGGGTTTGGGGGGAGGGGGAGCCCCTCCCCCCAAGAACACGGCCTATAGGATTAAGTATGAAAGAGCTAGTATCTTAAAAAACAGTGTACTTTTTTTTTAACAGTGTAACTTTTAAGCAGTGATAAAAACAATTGGGGTTGCGGGGGTTTCTCCCGCAAGAGGGGAGGGGGAACCCCTCCACCCAAGTATAGGGCCCATAATATTTAGCATTAAATTGTTACCTTCTGAAAAACAATGTTCCTTTTTTTTTACGGCATTATATCTTAAAGTATAATTTTTTTTTACAGCGTGAATTTTTTTACAGCCCTATGTTTTTAAAGCGTTATTTTTTTTTACTTCGTAATATTTTTTAGCAGAGGTACGAAATTAGTGGCTGGAAAAAACCCTCCTTCTAAGAATACAACCCATAACATTAAGCATTAAACTGAAAAAAAGAGCTTATATAAAAATTGATTACTTTGGAGAGAGTCATAATATAAAAGTGACTTTTACTGAAAAAGTCATTCAATAAAAAAGTAACTATGGAGGTTTTGTGGTAAAGATTACCCTTCGCCCCAGTAAATCAGCCAATAGTATTAAGCATTATATTATCGAGGTTAGAGAAACGCTCTATGAACACGTTTTCACAAACAATATGTTATTATTCGAGAAGAACTGAAAAATTGTTGGTTTTAGGTCGATGGAGGGGTCACTTTTGAAATTAATATTTTGGAATATGTAGTCTTTCATTATGAAGCAAAAATATTGCGCATAGAATAGTTAATCAGATATATAAACAATTAATACTTTTTGCGTAGATCAACTTTCTAGCCTGGGTCTAGGGACATCGTCTTTTATTTAAACATGTAATGAGAAACATCAAAGTTTTCTCCAGTGTCAAACTGATAATCAGTAGTGTAGCTTAAGCTATAAACGCGCGTGGGCTTCATGGTTAATTAATATATGTTAAGTTTTTGATTTCAAAAACAGGCCTGCGGCAGCACGAGGCTTTTTCAAAGCGCAGCGTACCGAACCATAGTGCAGGTCACAAATTTACCGCAGCGCAGCGAAGGTCAAAATTTTTGCCGAAACGGAGGTTTGGTTTTAAAAAGCCTCGTATATGTTTAAATAAATATGTTACCAAGTAATTCCTGCCTTACAAAGTAAAGACAAAATACGTGAGTATCTAAATTCATTTCCGCTGATGACATTACGCAAATGCCAAAGAGAACGTTTAGTACGTGTAATATTGAGAAATTCGAGAGTGATAATAGCGAATTAAGAATAAAATGTGAAATTTAACAAAGTGAAATTATCAAACTGCAAAAATAAACTAAAGCTTTATTAAACAAATAAAAGGGGGTCTTTATATACACATTATTTCAGACATTGATCACAGATGGGCTGATGACGGTTATGGGTAGATTTATCCAGATAATATTCGGATGTAATGATCCCATATAGAAAGACCATAATGAGATGTCAATAATAATAACAACAACATTCATTCTTAAACTGTGTATGTCTTGTAGCACAACATTCAGGGGAAAATGTAGTTCTTATTAAAGATAGCTGTGGCACCTCAACGTGGCTGATGTAACCTTCATATGTTTTCATATTCATGTTATTATTTAAATGTATGCCTTATACTTGTATGAAGGATGATATGAGATCAAGCCTGTACATAAAGTAAATGATTAGTATTTAATATAAAGTACCAATAAGAATTATATTTAGGATTATCAAATGGAAGATTTAAGAAGTGTAGATAGAGTCATATATTAAGTATATAGCCTCGATCACGACAAATATTAAGTAACCAAATATTCTGCCTAAGGGATTGTACTATACTTTTATGCTATTATAATATTTTACTCGTCACAAGGCGAATCATCTTCTGCACAGACACAAACGGTTTTGATGATAACAAATCGGGCGATGCGTGAGCCACGAATATTTATACATGATCATCCATTATTATGTAATGTGATGAGTTCTTTATTATAATCTATGAAATCCTCAACAGAGTACTCATGCTCCCGATTCATTGATATGGGACAACGGTAACTGGATAATTCTAACGAGTAGTATTCATTTAACCCAAGGCGGGAAACGAAGTATAGATCTATTATAAAACCAGAAAGGTTGACGCATCTTTAAAACTCAGGGGAGTTGTGCAATATAAAAAGGATCAATTATTTCATAGCGGCAGAGCTCTTTTAGTCTATTTTTACCTCCAATAAAGACATACTTTTATGTCATTACTTTTCTAATGTAACTATTTTGTTAAATACCACATGAGTAACGAAAAAAAATTATTTCATCCACTGACACCATAAAATCTTACTTTGCAGGCCTGTCGCAAATTTGGGCCTATAATTCTGAAACGGTCTACACCAACACGCGAACCCTGTACAATTACTTCCTTGTACCGTATTTTGATGACAAGTTTAGCACGGGGTTCAACTGGACGTCCTTAGATGAAAATGTCAAGAGCGAGGTAAGCGAGCTTTTAGAATGTATCTCGTTTTTTTGGAATAAGCGTGCTGGCAGTAGTGGGCTCCCAAGCTGGTATCTCCAGTAGATGCAGCTAACCCGCTATTGCCAATGCATCTTTCCAAGGGTAGCTGATTGACACGAAGAATAATTGTTTCGGTCTTGCAAGACAACGTTGATCAAGTAAGTACATCTTTTTAGACATAATAATTTACAATACGATTTCTAATATTTGTTTATCAGATTCCAAAGCCAATCCTGTCCGGTGTTTCCAACAACTTTAAGGCTATTGACCTGAAGAGCGAAAAAGGAGAGGAAAACATCAGCATTAATATGATGAGCATAGGTTTTTTGGAACAGGGTGCAAAACAAACCCAGCACTCGTTTAGCCAAAGATCTAATGAACCCGAAGCAGAAACAAGCGAAGATTGGCTAAATGGCTTCCTGGCGGATGGTGATTTGTTGTCGGGTGAAGGTGAATTGTCAGCGTCTGCGCAGTATTCCTCTCTGTTGGCGAATGAAGATGTATCAGCAATGAATTCTGATGCCAACAACAGAAAACAAAATCATGAAGAACTCTTGTAAACAAGTCATGTTCCTTTTTTTGAAAAAAACTCCACAGAAACAACAATCAAATTTATATTTTTGTTTTCACAAATTTTACTTTTTTCCTTAATTATTTTATAAACAAATTTTCTTTAAATAATAAAATGTAGCATACTCTGTTATCAACTAAATCTTTTCTATTGTAAACTACTTTGTATATTCTTTTCGCATCTGTTCAGGTAAGTTTGATATCTATCTGGATGTCTGCTATTTTTGTTGGTGTTCTGCTCGTGTTTATTGAAACGTAAGTAACTTGATCTCTTTGATTGTGTTGATATATGCTGATAAGATTGTTATAAATAAAGTGGCAATGAAGTCGGCTATAGGATAAGGTATATAAGATGATACATATGAAATATGTTAATCACTTATTAATAATTTTGATTATAGCATTATCGCTGTTCTATTTATGATACTCCCCTACCAAACAATGGGCTACACCGTATTGAAATTTGGTCTTTATTTCTTTCTAATAACTCTCCTGACATATTCTTTTAATAAAATTCATCGTAATATCTTTTATTATC